GTCCGGGCTGGTGTCGGTGCTGATCGACAGCCTCTTCTCAAGCGCCGCGGCCGGGAGCTGTGACAGGCGGATCACCAACGCGCTCGCGGAGCTCGCGTCGAGCGTTCCTCCGGTGCGGAGCATGGGCGCGGACGGCGTCGCCATGAATTGTCCGCGGGAAACACGTGGGCGCCCCGCCAGCGTGCACTGCCTTCACCGACCTGTTCTTCGACCTGGGTTCCAACTTTTCCGGGGTGTGGTATGGTCCCGCCCGCCCAAAGGGGTGGGGGTATGGTCCTGACCGCCCAAGACTAGCCCTGCCATACCCCAAGCAGGTCTGCCAGAGGTGGGGGGGGGATGGTCTTGAGCTGCGTTGGCCGATGCGCAAGAATTTTATAACGAAGCTCCCTCGCACGACACTGGGCACGGGACTGGCGCGCACTGGCACTAACACAGGTACACCACGGGAGCCGCCTAAGCGAGCCGACTCCTGCGAGGACGCTGGACGGGGAGGCACTTATAGCCCAAGAAATACGAGGCCTGCCTGGACGTCACGAGCCCATTCTCACTAGCCCTGCCTGACCCGCAGCGAGGCCGCTCGCGTAGGAGCCCCTCAGATGAGTGGTCAGATGAATAGATAGTGCCCGAGAGCGAGGGTTCCGGGGGGGAGCACAAATCAGGTAGGACGCCCAGCCCTAGGCAGGCCCAGCCAGCCTTGCCCTCGCTCGTGCGTCGTGCCGCCGAGTGCGTATCCTCAGCGTATCCTAATGCGAGAGAGATCCCCTGTGCCCTGTGCCCAGCCCTCTCCGCGCCGCGATGCGCCCCTTCCCCTCGCTTTTGCAAAATCCTGCAAAAGGTGGGGACGTGTCTGTCCTCGACCCACAGCCCTACAGTAGGCCTGCTTGGGATGTCTGTTTTATTTATTTATTCACGTCCTGCGAGAGGGCAGAGGGGCGGGGTGCGCGCTGTACCTCGGGGTTCGTGCGTCGCCCATCTCTCCGGGAGATGTCTGCTCGAGATTTATTTATTTATTTAGGAGGTCGCGCGGATGGATCGGGGCGGGCGGGGAGGGGTCTCGCTCGGTTTCGTGATGAGGCTAGTACTTGCCTTTCGGGGAGGGGCCTCGCTCGGGAAAGGCGAGGCTAGCTCAACCCAACGTACGTCTTTCTTCCCTTCCTCCCTCGCGAGGCAGCGAGTAGTAGGCAGCGAGCGAGTGACGAGTGTAGGTGTAGTGAAGGAAGGTGGAGGATTGTTCAGAACCGCGGCGGCGAGCCGCCCCACGGGCCGCTCACAGGAGAGAGAGCTGGGGGCGTGAGTGAGTATTCTTGATACGAAACCACGACGACACACACACAACAACACCGCCTCGCGCGCAAAGTCGCGCGCGGCAGCGTCGACCGCACGGCCTACTCGCCCAAGTACTCGCTCTCTTTTATGTCCCACCATGCAGAGCGCATCTCTCTCTCTGTTGTGCGAGGCGTGAACCGCGCCATTCGCTCTCACCTGGCAACCCTGTCTGCACGTCTCGCGCGCGCGTGAACAGGGCTCCAGGCCCCAAATGACGTGTGAGTGTTAGATTTGTTTGGTATTGCTAAAAATCTCTCTCACACACACAGCTGGGCCTGGGGGAGTCGCGGCACTACCGCGCTCTACACTCTACATGCTTCCCCTTTCTCCCGGCCGGGGTGGGGCACGCGGGGGGGGCGGCGGGTGTGTGGGATGTCTGTGGGCCCGAGAGCGATATGCCATGTCCGCCTTGCGTTGTTTCAAAACATCGAGTCTAACAGAAAAGAAAACACCTCCCATCGTTCAAGCTGGTGCTGGCTGCTGGCTGCTGGTGCTGGTGCTGGTGCTGACACCCAAACACCCCCGGCTCATGTCGACCAAGACGAAGGGCCGCCGCCTGAGCGGCTGGAAGGCGGAGGACGCGCAGAATCTCATCGAGGAGAACGACGACGAGTCGGAGCGCGTCGCCGCCGCCAGGCAAAAAAGCGAGGAGGCGGAGCGCCTCGCGCAAAAGGCGCGGTCGCCGTTCAAGGAGACGCCCAACCGAAAGGCGCGGACGGCTGTGCTCACCGACATGTACTCGGACGCGATACAGATGTGCGCCGAGAACGTGCGTCGCCGCCCCCCGACCTTGTCCCCCGAACGCGCGGCTCACTCGTGGCGTCACGCAACACCAGAAAATCAACGAGAAGAACACCTGGGCGCTCGACCTGATTGACCACATGGGACGGATGATCGAGCAGCCTTCGGCGGCCGGACTATCCCGGCCGGTTGAGAGGAAACAGTTCGCCTCCTCCACCCTCGACGCGGGCGTGAAGATTTACGCGTACCGCGTCGACTCGGTGACACCCCCCAGAGACCGCAGTGCAGCCGCTCTCGCTGCGCGGTCGCCCGCCTGCATCCTCGCCTTGCCCATCTCTAGACTCGCCACTCGCCTAGCACGCCATCGCGCAGGCCGGGCCCACACACGGCGGCGCCACAGACTGCGGACACCCTCTCCCGGCACCTCACGCGGTCGCAGGTCTACAACGAGACCTACAAGCTCATCGGCGGGCTGAATCGCGCAAAGGGCGGTGAGGTGGCGGACGGGGCGCTCGACACCGACTCCGTGGCGGACGCCGGCGCGCCGGAGGGTCCCGGCACCAAGGAGGCACGGAAGCCGCGCCGCGCCAAGCCCCCGAGCAGCAACCTCGAGGCCAGCACTAGCTGACGTAGACACTTCTTGCACTCGGAAGGCACTTCCGAGGCCCTCCAGCCCTCCACGTGTACCCTCGCAATGCGCCCCATGCACTGCCCTGCGCCCGGGGCCTGAAGCCTCGTCCTCAACTGGCCAGGCGAACCCGGCGTCGCTCGATCTCAAGAAGCTGGAGATGTCCTTCGAGGTTGACCCGCTCTTCCACCGCACGTCGGCCAAGTTCGACGAGGGCGGCGCAAAGGGGCTCCTTCTCATCAACCTCGCTGTGCGGCCCGGCTGCGCGCTCTCGTTCGACTCGTCCGGGACATGCGCCGCCGCGCCAGCGGTCGGGGCGCCGCCGCCCGTGCGGGTGCCATTGGCGCCGCTCGCCGCACTGGTACCCAAGCAGCTCTCTGAGAAGCACGTGTGTGCCGAGCTCTGCGGCATGGTCGGATCGCTCCGCACCGGCGTCACTTGCACCGACGACGCGGAGCCCGAGCTTGCCACCGCTGCGAGCGACGAGGACGATTCGGACGGCGACGCGGCGGCCGGAGGCGGGTACGACGATGACAACGACGCGCTTGGTACCGCGGACTTGGGCGCCGATGCCTTCGACGCGAGCGCCGACCTCGGCGGAGAGCCAGAGCCCCTCGATGCCGCCGAGGCGGCGCGCGAGGCGGCGCTCCTGCGCCAGTTGTCGACCGATGGGGAGGGGGAGACCGCCGTCGCCGCCGCCTTCATGTCGCTGGACGAGCTGGCGTGGCCCTCGTGGCACTCGCCGAGGGGCGATGGGTGGCTGGGCTCAGAGCAGCGGCGGTTCGCCGTAGGTTGCCGAGTCGCACCCGACAGAGCGCGGCACCGAGGCGGTGAGTTTGAGCCCCCCCCGCCCGCGTCTCGCGCCCCCTCCCGCTCCTCGCAACCCTTTCCCCGCCGTCCAACCACGGTTCCGCGGCGACTACCCCCATGCTCACAGGAGGAGGGCACCGGTGTCGCCGACACCGAGGCGGCGGCGCGCGAACGCGTCCAGCGGCTGCTGCAGGTTGGCCAAAGGTGGGCAGGCCCGGCGCACTGGAAGTTCGGGAAGCCGGCCGGCTCGGGCGGCGGCGGCGGCGGCGGCGGCGGCGGCACGGCGGCAGCTGCGCCCCCAAAGCGTGGGAAAGGGAAGGCACCTTTTGCCATCGACTTTGGCCGCTCGACGGAGGTGCTCGCCTCGCTGCGCGCGATGGAGACGCAGGCGCAGCCCACGCGCTTGCGCCCCCACCGCCCCCACTGCCCTTCCCACGACTCCCCGCCACCCTCCGACGAATGCAGGCAAAGGGAACGACGCTTACCGAGGCCGCACTCGCCAAGGATGGCGGATCGTGCTCCACTCTCCCCCCTGACCTCAACTGCACGCCCGAGGTGCGTGCGCGCCTCCTCCGCGCGGCCCAGACGACGCCCCTTTGGCGGCACCTCCGCGCCTTGAACGTGTCGTCGTGACACGCGGTGGCGGCGTCCACTTGCATGGCCCGTCACATTGACGCACCCGATGATGCGCATCACAGGTGCTCTCCTGCCTCTTTCACAAGCCAGAGACGCGCCTCAGCCGCCGGCGCCGCCGGCTCCAGCCGAGCGCGTCCGTCGCTGAGGCTGCCGAGGGCGGAGATGCGGGCGGCGCGGCGGACTACGAGAGCGACGGAGACGATTGGGCGCCAGCCGATGGCGGCGAGATGGAGGACGAGACGTCCGTCGATGAGGGGGCGCACGCCGACGCCCTCGTTTCCGGCGCGCCCGTGGCGGCGCCACTGCAGCTCGTCGCGGAGCCGCAAAAGGTGCAGACACCCCGGCGGTGTTGGTCGTGGTCTCCGTACTGAGGCTGCCGCCCTGTCTTGTCAGGTGGCGCAGATCAAGATCGGCTACGCAAAGGTGGCCAAACAGGTCGACATCAAGGGTCTCAAGACAGGGGTGTGGGAGCTGTTGCAGGATGTGGACAGCGAGGCGCGCAAGGCGGGCGCGGTGCAGGTGTCCTTCCAGGAGGTGCTCCAGCAGTTGCCGTCCAAGGTCGAGGCATCGCAGCTGCCGGACGTCTCGTTCGCCTACTGCTTCATCTCGCTGCTGCACTTGGCAAACGAGCGCGGCCTCGAGATCGCCGACGACAAGGATCGGCTCTCGGACCTTCGTGTGACCATGCCGCGGTGAGGGAGTGGAGGGCCGGTGCATTGGCGGACGCCGCTCCGTGGGGTGTGTGCTGCCCCGAGCTCGGGGCACGTCCCGGTTGACTGTTGAATGCGACTCTACGACTACGTAGCAGCCCACTTGAATGGCACTGCTGTCATGCATGTGTGTACATCAGTGAGTCCCCGGCATATCCGATCGGGCCTAACTGTTTAACCCTGATTTTTACGCTCTGCAATCAATTATGGTCAAAATCTCAAAGTCAAACCTCGCCGGACGCCGCGCGCGGGCGCGCCGGCCCTCTGCGCTCGAGCCATCGCACGGCATTGCGCCTGGCCAGCCTCGCCTCTCTCGGAGGAGACTGAAGTCTGGACACGGGAGAGAGTGAGAGAGAGAGAGCACTGGTGGTGGTACGTCCCCAGGGCCCCCGTCATTGCGCATAAGGCGATGTGGGCTGTTGGGCGCCAACCCGCGAGCGGCGCCACTGCCAGTACGCCTCACGGAGTGAGTCGAGATCCTCCAGCGAGTCGCACAGACTACGAGCGCGCTCCTGCTCCGCCGGGTCGCCGCCCTCGTCGAGCACGTCGACTAGCAGCGACATGGCGGCGACACGGCCGGCCCCGCTCGCTGCATCGCCGGCAAGCAGCCCCTCGCAGAGCAACCGCACGCGCGGGACGGCGCTGTAGCCCAGCGGCTCGACCACCCCGCGCAGGTAGTTCCATGGAGAGGGGTTCCCCGGCGCAGCAGCGATGAAGCGGGCGGCGAAGTCGACCTCGCCCTCGGCGACAGACAGCGAAGAGAGATCGGCGGTGTGCTGCAGCAAAAAGTAGCGCTGGTTCCACGCCGAGTTGTTGCGGGCGTCCTCCTCAAGCAGCCCCTCCACAAATGCGGCCTCGCCTTCCCATCCGCCGCATGAGCTGAGTACCCACTGGCGATGCCCCCAGGCGTGGTAGTTCTTGCTGTCATCCCTCAGGATCTCCGCCACGAATTCCAGCTCGGCCTCGGGGCCGCTGCCAAGCCTGGCGAGGCAGGAGCGGCGGTGGAACCACACCTGGTAGTTCTTCAAGTTCTCGCGCCCACGCGCCGTGCAAAAGGCGAGCTCCTCGCGCCATGCCTGCTCCCGCGCGGCGTTGGACGACCCCGAGTGCATTGCCTCAAGGCAGCGGCGTCGGTACTGCCACGCGGTGTAGTTGGCGGCGTTGTGCGCAATCACCTCTGCCGAGAGCTGCAAGGTCCTCTGCGAGCACTCCCCCGTGACAACCACGCGCCGAAAGTAGCTCATGACCTCCTCAAAGCCGTCCGGGTAGGCGATCCGCACGACAGGCACGGGGCCGTCGTCCTGCGGGAGCGGCTCGAGGTCGGAGAAGGTGGCGTCGAGCATATAGCTCGTATGACACACGCACGTGTTGAAGAGGACCTGGCCTGAGCGGCACCGTGGCCTGGACGTCGGAAGCGTCCGACGGCCGCGCAGCGGTCTCGGACCTATGCGGGGGGCGAGTAGAGGCACTCGCGGCGCTACTCTCGAGGTCTCTTGGATGCGCATCGCAGCAGTCGGGGGGCAGGAGAAGCAGCAGGCCGCAGTAACCGCCGTGATCAAGGCCGTCATCGAGGTTTTGCGCGACGCCGGCGATGTGAGCGATCCCCCGGTTCCCCACCGCCCCAATTTCCCCGCACTTGTTCACCGTTCGCCTGAATAGAGCTCTTCCTTTCCTCCCCTCTCCGTCCCTCCGCCTCTCCCCACCGCGAGTCACCGCTCCGACTTTCACGTTGTAGGACCTCGGACAAGAGATCACGGCCGACTCCTTCCTCGCGCCAGGCGACATGGACCTTCTCAAGCACAAGCTGCGCCAGGCCCTCCAGTGCCACTTCGAAGGGGAATGCCGTCCTCAAACGCGTGCTGCCAGAGGCGCTCGACGAGACGAAGGTGACCACGCCCCGGGCGCTGGCCGAGTACCTGCGGCTCCCGGAGGTATCGTGTGCGCCTCGCGTGCCTTCGGCCGAGCAGAGGCGGCAGATGCGCGAGCTCGTCGAGGTGCGAGCGAAGCTCGTCGCGACTTTGAGTCTATCCTAGCGCGTGTGGACAGAACTCTCCAGGCTTTGGGTGAGGGGGACGCCGACCGCGCCGAGCGAGAGAAGGTCGAGCCGCTGCAGCATCGGCGACGCGAGGCTCATGAGCTGCCGTTGCCAGGCCAGCAGCGTGGGCAGCTCATCACTCGTTGGCGGGCGGCCGATGGAGCCGGCAGCATTGCAGACCGCATGAGCTGTACGAGAAGGTGGTTATCCGGAAGGGCACAGATGCGAGATCACTCGAGATCACTCGAGATCACACACAGGTAAATCACGGCTACGTCGCTCAGAGGTAGAGGTAAAGGGCCCACGGCTGCCCTGCAGAGGTAAAGGTACGAGGGCCGCCGTAGGCCCTCAGAGGTAGAGGTAACCCAGACCCCTCCTACTCGGCCCTCAGGGCCGATCGGCACCCGCAGCGCTGGCAACCGCCTCTCCCGAAGACCACCTAGCACTAACAGTCTAACACCCCCTCCTCTCACAGCAGTTCGGACTCTCTGGCACCAAGAAAGTCACAGCAGGCGACGGCCCCTTATGGGCCGCCGAAGAGGCCGGCCTCCTCCGGCACCCGCCTCACCCCACCCCACCCCGCCCTCTCCCCCTGACCCTCCCCAAAGCCGCACCCGGCTCCGCCCTCCTCCCGATCCTCACCCTCTCGTGCGCTCGCCGCCCGCGCCGCTTCCTCCCACCATGCGAGAGAGAGAATACGAGTACCGCCAGCACGCCTCGCTGCCAAACAAACGAAAGAAAGCGCGCCCCGGATGGAGCGGGAGGCCCAGCCGGCGGACGTCACCGCGCTCAGGAAACCTGCCCTGCCGACAACTCCATCTCCTTCTCCACGACGCCGGCACCGTTAGCAGCCTGAGGGCTAGCTGCCTTGATGCGGCCGGTCAGCTTGGACACGTCGCGCGGGGAGGCATGGTCGAGGCCAAAGCGCGAGTACTTGAAGTCTGTGGCGTAGGGTGAGGACATCAGGTAGTCGGTCGGCACGCCTTCGATAGCCCCCTCGGCCATCGCGCTCGTGGTGTACTCGCCGCGCACAGGGAACTCGTCCTCCTCACCGAAGACTGCCTTGTTGTCGCCGTCCCACGACTGGCCAATCATCCCGTGGGGCGGCACGGATAACTGGGATTCGGCGACGCGTGGCGTCATCTGCACATCGATGCGCCGCACGGGCCCCGCCACCGAGCGTTCGACAGCCTGCGGTGTGACCGCCAGCTCCCACTCGCCAGTGGTGACATGCAGCGAGGAGTAGTCCATGTGCAGCGTGACATCGTCGACCACCTTGGTCGTGTGCGGCCCGAGCGCGAAGGCCTGCTGGCGGTCGATGGTCGCGTTCATCCACCCGATGTTGAGCGGACCGATCTTGCTCGCCCAGTACGAAGCGCGCACAGTGCGCCCGCCGCCGGTCTTCGCAACGATGTGCGCCTGCGTGAGGAAGGAGCCGTGCACGAGCTTGTGGCGGGGGTGGTCCGTGTCGTGCAGGTAAAAGTCGGCAAACTCTGTCATCATGTTGAGCGAGAGGTTCTCGGCCGAGAGGAAGTTGTAGATGCCCTTGTCGGTGCCGCGGAAGTCCGCCTTGCCTCCGTGAGCCAGCATCAGGTGGGGATCGCCGTTCGCCTGTCCTGCATCGGGCGGCGGCAAGGGCACCAGCGCGTAGTTGTCATATTCTCCACCGTTAACTCCCGGGGCCGTCAGGGCGACAGTAGAGGGCCCCTCGTCGCTCAGATCGCACGTGCTTTCCTGCTCTACAACCTCGTCTGCATACCAGTCAAACGAGAGGCAGACGAAGCCGTACCGCGCCTGAGCGTCGCAGCATGCAATCATGCAGTCCACGATTGTGACGTCCGTAAGCCGCTTAGTATTATGGCCGTCTACGTGCTGGCCTACCGTATGGGTCCACATGCCACCGTCGCAGCCAGGCAGCGACGGCGGCGGCGAGGGCGGCGGAGGCGAGGGCGAGGTGGAGGGCGGCGGCGGCGAGGGCGGCGGAGGGCTCGGCTCGGGCGGCGGCGGCGAGGGAGGTGGCGGTGAGGGGGTCGGCGGCGAGGGGGGCGGCGGCAAGGGCGGCGGCGGGCTCGGCTCGGGCGGCGGCGGCGAGGGAGGTGGCGGCGAGGGGGTCGGCGGCGAGGGGGGCGGCGGCAAGGGCGGCGGCGGGCTCGGCTCGGGCGGCGGCGGCGAGGGAGGTGGCGGCGAGGGGGTCGGCGGCGAGGGCGGCGGAGGCAAGGGCGGCGGCGGGCTCGGCTCGGGCGGCGGCGGCGAGGGAGGTGGCGGCGAGGGGGGCGGCGGCAACTCCACCAGCGCGTAGTTGGTATATAGTCCACCGTTGACCGTCAGGCCGACAGTAGAGGGCCCTTCGTCGCTCAGATCGCACGTGCTCCCCTCGACTGCAAACCAGTCAAACGAGAGGCAGACGAAGTCGTACCGCGCCTGAGCGTTGCAGCATGCAATCATGCATTCCTCGATTGTGACGCCCGTAAGCCGCTTAGTATTATGGCCGTATACGTGCTGGCCTACCGTATGGGTGTACATGCCACCGTCGCAGCCAGGCAGCGCTGTGCCACATGTTTTGTGGCAGACGGGTTGATGCTGTGTATGCATCGAGGTAGCGCCGCTCGCGCATCCCTGGTGGGCAACCATCGCATCATCCGCCGTCCCTGCCCACAGAGAATGTTTACCATACAGGAGTTGTCGGGGCCCCAATGGGCCGAACAGTCGGCATCTGTGCTCGATTTGAACCCCATGCTGTACGTCCCTGCCGCCACCGGATCGGCATAACTTTCGGCAGCGTACGTAGTGTGGAACGACTGACAGAGGGCCAACTCGGTGACCATTGTGAAATTATCGGGACAATGGGCTCTCCTGCGCGAAGTCGCCCTGCGGTGCGAAGACATGCCACCTCAGCCAGGTGCGCGGACCGGGCAGGAGTTGGCAGGGGGCGCTCGAGAGGGGGCGGGGTTGGCTCCTGCGTGGAGTGGAGAGAAGCACATCCAGCAGGAGTGCGTTATGGCACGCGTGGTGGTGAGGGTGTGAGGCCCAGACGTGCGCAGGAGCGGTGCTGCGCGTGGCAGGGGAGGGTTGCGCACCGCGGTGCCTCGCCTGTGGGCCCTTCCCTGGTCCAAAAGAGGCGGCTTCGATCATATGCTACAGCTTAGATGCGTTAGCGGCGGGCAATTGCAATGAAAAGAGGCGCATCGTTGGCGGTTTCCGCGACTGTCGCGGAATCTTATCTCCGGTGATCTCGGGCGGTGTCGATCTCCGAGGGAGTCGAGTCTCTAGTGTTCCTCATTCAACTTCGAGTGGGTGGAGGCCAAGCCGGCCAGTACTCCCTTAGAGCTTAGTGTGGGTAAACCATAGAAGTAGGTTTGAATTCGTCTACGTAAGGCTTGGTGAGTGGTTGGGGTGGCCTCAGGCATCCCCAAGGGAGCCTCTGCGGTGCCACATAAGCAGCTTAGAATCTAAGGCTTAGTGATTGTCGAGACTTTAAAGTATTCGTTTGAAGAAACGCAAACAAGACAGACGGTACTATGGATGGACTATGGTCACCAGTAAACCATAATTCGACTTTGAGGGATCATATCTCAAAAAGCCGGGAGATAGCATAGCCTTATTGTTGCATATTAGGCCGCATAAGGTCAAACTTGACCCCACAAGCATCAATAACCCGATGCTTCGGCTCGACTGTGCCGGCACACTGCCTCCTTGCGCCGGCTGCTAGCAGGCCGTCGCGGCCCGTGGTGCACCAGAGAGAGAGGTCGACGCGTTGCCCCCGCTGGCGACCCCGCGCGGCTCAGGCCGGCCAGAAGGTGTGTGGTGGCGGCACCATGGCAGGAGTGCGGAGAAGAGCTCGCCGAACGCGAGCAGCAGATGGCCAAAGTGTACCAGCGCGAGAGCCTCGCAAGCGGGCGCAGAAGAAGCTCGCCGTGACACGATGCCGGGCGGTGTCTGCCCGCCCAATGCGCAATGGGTGGCAGGTGCCTCTGCTGCTGTGGGAATTCTGCTGTGGTATGCCTCACGGCTGCGACTGGCCGGCGCCTCGGCGCGTCAGCTCGGCTTGGCGCAGCGATCGTGGCCAGCGCAACTCGCCTGGACTCAACGCTCAGCCAGGAGCTCCAGCTCCCGCACGCGCTGGCGCGAGTCATGGCGCATGCAACGCGCCTGAATGCTCGCCTCGCCTCGCGCAAATGCGACCGTCCTCGCAGCCGACAGTCCACCGCCTGCTAAAGAAGCACAGCGACGAATGCGGCAGCGGCGACGCATGGCAGGCTGGTCATGAGCTCATGACGCAGTTATAGGGTGTTGGTGTGCCGTCAGAGTGACTCTCTGTGTGTCAGGGATAGTCAGGGCCGTGTCCATCAGAGCTCCAGTAAGCTCGGAGACACCCTATTAGTGCGACTCGACCTCTTTGAGTCACTGCCCCGGCGCCCACAAGCAAATTTGCATGCAAATGTACATGTGTGCACCGCAGGCAAGTCCTTTCTTGAATTCTTTCTTGCTGCCCCGGTGTTGGAGGCGCGACGGCACGGCGGCGGCCGACTCGCAATGATGCCTTCTCGGGGCGGCTCGCGGGCCCAGCGCGGATCGGTGGTGCACCCGGAGCGGTTGCGTCTCCCGGAGGTTCACCGGTCGAAGCCAGCGCACTCACAGCATGAGCGTCGTCGGCCCTCAAGTAGCAGCAGCAGCCGAAGCGACAGCAGCAGGAAACCGCGGCATCCTGGTCGGCGGCGCACGCGCTGTTCGTTCCTCTCGATCACCAGGTGCATCGCTGTGCTCGGCGTCGGCGGCCTCTTCCTTGTGCACCTGTTCGACCTAACACCAATGTGCGCATTTGCACCGCCCTCTAGTCGTGCATGGAGGCACGCGTGCGTGAACAGCGCGTACTCTCTCCTCCATGCAACTCGGCAGCGGTGTGCACGATCCCACCACCCGACGCTCTGCTCAGGGTCATTGATGCGCAACGACGTCTGTCCAGCCATGCTCCCTCCGCTGGGCTGTCATCGCATGAGGCATACCTCGACGATGAGGAGTACGAGCGGGCCGCCCTCGACTCGCTGGCAGCCCAGGTGCCTCACCCGGCGCACCTCCACACTCTCCCCTTCGGCGGGCGCCAAATCTCGGCTCTCCCGTACACACACACACACACACACACACACACACACACACACACACACACACACACACACACACACACACACATCGCACAGCCCTCGCATAATCCCAAGCCCTGCCGGAGCCAGCCTCTGGACCTGTCGCAGGATACCTCCCAGCTGGCGGAGCAGGCTGCGAGACATTGGGCGCAGGGGTGGCGCGACGACGGCGACAGCGGTCGTGGCGACGGCGGTGGCGGTGGCGGTGGTGAGCAGGAGGAGAGCGACGGCGGCGGCGAGGAGGAGCTGGCGAAGGAGGAGGGTGGGAGTGAGGTGTTGAAGGAGCGTGAAGCAGCGGACGAGTTGGCGACCGATGAAGCTGCAGACGGCGACGGCGGAGGCCAGGCGGATGCCCGCGGTGGCGGTGCCGCCATCGCCAATGGTGCCGCCAGTGGTGGCGCCGCATGGCGTAGCGGGGCGGAGGCGAGCGTCGTGGCTGCTGCCACTGGCAAAACTCGCTTCGGTGCTCGCCCCTCAGTCCCCATGCCCCATGTAGGTGCTTACTAGCGTCGCGCAGTGCAGGGCGGCGGCGGCGGCGGCGGCAGAGGCGGCGGCAGAGGCGGAGGCGGAGGCGGAGGCGGGTGGACGTGCTGCGGCGGAGGGTTTCACAGCGGGAGCGCCGTTGGACGTGACCATGATCACGCAGGCTTCGGCCGAGCGGCTGTGGATGCTCCCTTTCATCTGCGACCGATGGGCCGGGACGCTTGTCGTGGCTGCGCTCGCGGCGGCTGCCGACAGGCGACCGAAGCTCTCGCGACCGCACCCCTTCCGAGCTGAGGCGCCTCACCCGCGCCCCACCCGGTGGTCGGCCAGGCGGAAATGGCCCCCCTTGACCATGGGGGGGGGGGGGGAGCCCCCCTCCCGGGTTTTGTTTTGGGGGGGGCAGCCCCCGGGGGGGGGGCCCCCCCCCCCCCCCCCCCCCCTTTCCCCCCCGGGGGCTGCCTCACTTCCTCACCTCCGCGGCTGCTCTGCTGCCAGTCGGCCTCCATTCCCCCAGCAACCGGGGCCCATCACCTGCCTGAGGCTGCTCCGCCCGCGCCCCTCGCTCCCCCTCCCCTCCCTCCTCGAGCCTTGCCCGCGGATAGCCGTCGCGCCGCCGTCGGCCGGCTTGCAGGTGGGGGCGTGGAGAAGAAGGGCTACCCCATCAACTGGCTGCGCAACCAAGCCATCGGTTGCGTCGCCACGTCCCACTATTTGATCGCCGACATCGACTTTTGGCCGTCGCGAGAGCTGCGCCGCCTGATCCGCATGCAGCTACCGGCGTGGGGCGAGGCGCAGCGGGCGCTCGTCGTGCCCAACTTTCAGCGCTCCGGCCACGGCTGCCGCGCCAGCGGTCCGAGCGCTTGCCGCGACGCCTTCGAGCGCGGTAGCCTCGGAGTACCCTCAAACTACTCTGAGCTCGCCACTTGCGCGAGGGCGCGGCAGTGTGCCGTGTTCGACTCGGAGTACAACGCCGCCGGCCAGGCAGAATCACACACCCGGGGGGAGCGGGGGGAGGGGGGGGAGGGGGGGGGGAGTAGGTCGCCCGACGCGTGCGTCTTCCGTGAGCGCAGGCGTCGACGGACATCCACGCGTGGCGCGGGCTCGCGGAGGGCAGCACGATGCCAATCAGCTGCTTTTCTTCGGCGCGGCTCGAAGCGCCCGCAGTGGTGCTGATGACGGCGGGTCGCCACTCCCTCGTTGTGAGCAGGTGCGGTACGAGCCCTTTGTGGTCCTGCGCAACCACGCGGCCACGCCGCGGTTCGACGAGCGGTTCACCGGATATGGCAAGAACAAGGCGCAGCGCATCCCTCTCCCCGCCCCCTCTCTGTCGCGGCGGGCCGAGCGGCGCGCGGCGCCCCCTCGCAGGTGCAGCTGATCCTCCATTTGCGGATGGCGGGCTACGCATTCCACGTGCTCGGCCGTGGCTTCCTCTGCCACTTTCCCCACCCGCAGTCCTCGTCAAAGCAGGTGTGGCAACCCTCGACCCCGCCGCGGCCGCGGCAGGCCATACTCCTCGCCCCACACCCACCCCACACCGACCTCAGGCGTGGCTGCATTCATCTGCACATGCCGCGATGGACCGCCTTTTTCACACATTCGAGGCGGAGATGCGGAGCCGGTACTCGAACGCCACTCTGAGAACGCGGATGTGCCCCTGACTCCCCGCAGCTCCGCATGTCGCCCGGGCTCCGTGGCCGTTTCAGAGAGAGAGAGAGAGAGAGAGAGAGAGAGAGAGAGAGAGAGAGAGAGAGAGAGAGAGAGAGAGAGAGAGAGAGAGAGAGAGAGAGAGAGAGAGAGAGAGAGAGAGAGAGAGAGAGACCGACACACGTCAGAGCACAAGTGTATCACCATCAGACCAGAGACCTGCAGATACCTCGCACCCACGACCGCATCCACACCTCCAAATAGCGGGTTATTTTATTTTTTGACTAAAGGGTAGTCCACGGTATAATGTCGCACTATCTAGATAGTCTCACTACTTTATGTATGTAAAGAGTGAGTGCAGTCGAGAGGACAGGGGAGGGACGCGTCCAAGGGGGGTCCGAGGGGGGAACGGAGGCTTGGGATTTTGCATCCATGGCCGGGGAAGGCGAATCGGTCCGTTCGGGAGGCGAATCGGTCCGTTCGGGAGGTCAGCGGATTGTCGCTGTGGAGCGCAGGGGCGAGGGCGTCGACCGACGGGCGGCGCACCAGGAGCCCCTCGCTGGCGCGGTAGGTCACGGAACGACGGGTCGAGCCCCTCCGCCAAGCGAGGCGGCGGTCGAGACGGTGAGCGGTGGGCGTGGCTGAGTACGGCCGACACTACGTGCTGCGGCAGCCCGCGGAGTCGCAGGAGGCGCGGTGGAGCGGCTGCGCTTTACGGCGACGGCGAGGCTGGCCGGGCACGCTGTCGTCGAGATAGGCACGCATGTCGAGATCCTGGGTTCGCAGAGGAGGGTTCGTGTGGATGCGGTCGAGTACGACGGCTACCCGGACGCCGAGCGTCTCCTCTCGTCAGAGGAAGAGACGTGGCTAGGCAGGTGACGCTCGGCGCCGGCAGCGCGGCCCCTAATACCAGCGGCGAGGCGAGCTGCACTGGAGAGCGTGAGCCGTGGCGTGTGTGCGGGATCAAGTGAGACTGAGACGGAGAGCTCTGTGTGCGGACTGCGGGGGGCGGAGGGTCCAGCTCCAGGGTCGGCCCGCCGGGCAGAAGAGATTTTGTATACTTACGGCGCTTAATGAATAAATAACACACTGCCGTAATAAATATACGCGCTGGAGCGGCTACGGAGTCCACCGGCAGGTCGCGCAGTGCGCTACTCCATACACCCTGTACAGCCGCCCTTGTGTGTGTCCTTTCACCAGAGCGCGCGCCTCGGTTCCCCCAGCCATCCTTCCGATCCAAACCCGGCGACATGCCTATCCAAGCATGTATTACTCTTCCCTCCCCCCTTCTCCGCCCGCGCAGCCTGCCCCTATGCACCGATACACCGTGGGTGTGCGCCGTGCGCCCGATGTCACGGGCAGCTTCACGAGCATGAAGCTCGGTCTGTCAGACAGTGACTTCTCAGACAGTGACTTCCTCGAGAGCCCTGCGGTTGTGGCCAGCCGTAGCGGAAGGGGCGCCGACATTGACGGTCGCTTCCTTGCCCTTGGAGGCACGAGCGCGGCGGCACCAGCAAAGCCCGAGCGTCGCGATGACGAGCAGTCCGACGACGAGTACGAGTGGGGCCGTCGGGGGGGGCGGCGGGTGGGATGGCGGCGGTATCCTCTCCCGCTTCCGCGCGGCCTGAAGGTGATGCGAGCCCTGGTGCAGGCTTGCAGGCGTGCACGCGCTGACATTGAACCTCGCCAACAGCGCACGGACCTCGATGTTGTTTGGCATCTTGTTATAGCACACGCCAGGCGTGCTGTCAAAGCTTGGCAAGTCCCTAATGGCGAGCATTTGCTTCAGGGGCGTGTAGCCCGCACAGTCAATGTTGTTGGGGTCCATCTCGAGTCCCCCTCCCGCAAACGGCACTCCGTAGTAGGCAAGATGGAAGTGCGGCATCAGAGTGAGGCCGCCGAGATTTCGCTCCGCGGGGCTGGCCAACTGCTTTGCTTGACCAATTACGGTGATGTTTGGCGGCTCGTCTCCGGCGCCGTGAAGAGACCGATCGGTGGCGTACGAAGTGAAGTAGTAGCCCGCCAAGCGACGCGGCATCGCTGCGAATTGGTCGTTCCGCACGTAGACGCCAGTGCTGCAATTGGGGTCCAAAGCTGCCACGTCAAGAATGTAGACGGTGTCGGGCCGCAGGAATAGGACACGCTCAGGGGTCCTTTGCGTGGACTGCTCGTAGCTGAGCAGCAGATCGAACGCGACGACGCGTTTGATCAAGCTGCTGTGCATTCCGCCCTCGGGCAACTTCTTCGTTCCCGAGGCTGTCGCGAGGAGGTTGCGCAGCTCTTCGTTGCTGCACGCTGCGGCCGCCTCGGAGGGAGAGCCGGAGTTGCTGAGGTATCGGGCGCGCCAAGGGAGGCCCAACGAGTGCATGGTCTTGTCGAGTGCCGTTGTTGTGAAGCGCGTCACGCTGTGCCATCCACCCGGTCTCAGATCACCTCGGTTCGTCGACTCAGTCGTGAGGACCGCCAGCATCACAGCTTCCCCCGAAGGCAACCTGCTCACCAGCGTTTTGAATGCACTGCTCACCAGAGGGCTCGTGAAGGACCTGGTCTGACCGGCGACCACAAGGGCGACTGCAAAAGGAGTCAGCTCCACAGGTGGGCCGAGGACCGGCGAGACACAGCGGCAGCTGTCTCGAACATCACGGCTCTGGCGAAAGCAAGACAGTGGATCGGCCAACGGATCGGCAAGTCCATGGGTCCGGTTATCTGCAAAGCACGCCAACACCTGCGTTGTTGGGCAGCGGAGCCGCCTGCGCTGCTCCTGACGGCAGGCTTCCGTGCAGTGAACGGATGCGCTCAACCCAGCGAGAAGCCGGCACATACCACTTGCATCGAGGAGGGGAAGCATCATTCTTGTAGCGTCGAGCTGGTGGCTCGAGAACGCTGTTCCGTCGATCCGCTGTTCACACTTCACACAAAAACACAACCACGGACCCAAGACGCACAAGCTCAGACAGTCGAGAAAGGGATAGACCGCAACGACAGTCAGAAGTCAGTCATGCACATGTCTCTCCGCGCACGCTCGTGCGCGCTCAGACATGTACATGTATGTTGTTGTTGTTGTTGTTGTTGTTGTCATGCATGTGCGAAGGGATGCGCTAGAGGCTATTGGAGTCCCTTCAGAGAGATGGGATCCTATGCCTTTTTTCCTTGGCGTGGCGAGCGGCAGAAGGGGGGCGTCCCCAGTATGGGTCCTCCCTGCCTGCTGCACGCCGACGCCTCAGGGTGGCGGGGCGGCGGGCGAGAGTGCCCGCCCGACGCCGTGGGGCACGGGAGGGGCGCGCGGGCCCTCCACGCGGGCCACGACGCCACCCACCTACTAATCGCGCACGCGCGGCGCCAGTAGACACTACTCCGAGCGGTGGAGAAGCCGCGCCCGCGGTGGTGTGAGGAATTGAAGAATTGCGAATTTTGTAGTCACTCCACGAGAGCACGCGACCAGGCGCGACACGCACACCATCTCGCTTCTCGGCACCCGGCACCCCGCGCGCGCGTCCACCACGCCGCGCGGAGCGGAGCCGACGCACCTCGCACGCCCCCCCGGCCCCGCGGCACGGCGCGGCGGAGATATTGTTGGCTGCCAGGCGTCGAACCGACAACCGTCTCAGAGGGAAACTCGAGAGTTGCCAGAATGGAGCTCAGCAAACACGATCTGGTTTCCATAGAAACTTCCGAAAACGCAAACGGTGCTGGGGACCACCCTCTGGTTTCCCTCTGGGTTGCCGCGAACAGGTGCGTCCTCGTCCTTGAGGATTTGAAGGGGAAGGGGAAGGGCTGTGTCCTGTGTGTCTGTGCATGCATGCATGCATGCATGCATGCATGCATGCATGCATGTGTGTGTGTGTGTGTGTGTGTGTGTGTGTGTGTGTGTGTGTGTGTGTGTGTGTGTGTGTGTGTGTGTGTGTGTGTGTGTGTGTGTAAAGAAAGAAAGAAAACAGACAACCCAAGGGAGGGACGGGAGGACGGCACGCCGCCACCACACAGGGATTTCAAGGGGAGAAGTGTGGTGCTAGCCGTCGCCCACCCTGTCTCTTGTGAGTGTACTGGCTGGAGGTGGAGCCGAGCAGGAGGGCCCGGCGCACAACCCCTGTGCGCGGAACTCGCTGCGCGAACGCTCAGAGTAGCTTAATGGACGTTTACCTCTGAACAACCGTCTCCCGCAAATCAGATAAACTCTCCGAGCACACCGCACCTCGCACACCTCGACGCTGTGCGACACTGAAGTGACTTACTTCTGTCTGGCAGCATGAGCAATAGAGTGAGGAAGTGACTAGGGGGGCAGTGGCCCCAGGAGCAGGATGGCTCCCTACTGTCGTACCTGCACGTTGGCACACAATAGGTCCTTGATGCGCTCGACAGCCTCGGCCGACACGTCGGAACAGTAGCGGATGTTGAGTGAGCGGAGACCATGGCAAGCGGCGGCGAGCTCGAGCAACCCTGCGTCTGTCGCGAGCCGCTGCCCAGAACCTACTCCGCAATGTGTCAGAGGGTCGGGAGGGCGTGAGGGACGGGGTCTAAGCGAGCCACTGCCGGAGCCTGGCTGGCCACCGAGGTCGAGGGACTGGAGTCGGGGGCAATGCGCGGCTATGGCCTCGAGCGTCGTTTGCGTGAGGAGAGTGCAATTGTTGAGGTCGAGCGTACTCAGCTGCGGGCAAGCTGCGACGAGGGTGCTCAGGCCGGCGTCGGTCAGCTGCTTGCAATAGGCAACCTACTCACACCGCGGAACGCTCGCGCGCTGGCGTGCGTTGGAGGGGGGGGGGGGGGGGGGGGGCAGACCGACAGGGAGCGGAGCTGCGAACAACGCTCGGCCACCGCGAGAAGCGCCGCGTCGGTGAGGTTGTCCTATCCACACTCATAACCTCGGAACACGCGGGCTTGCCCGGGCGAGGTGCGCCACCGGCAGCTGAATGCAGGGGTAGGTTCCTGCATGCCGAGGTCGAGCAAAGCGAGCCTCGGGCAGCCGGCCGCGAGACGGACGACTGCCTCGTCGTCAACGGGACCGGCGCGCTCCGTGTAGAGAGCCGTCAGGCTCGGGCAATGCGCGGCGAGAGCGCTCACGGCGACGGCGCCAACCTTGCTGCAGAGGCGCACGTCGAGAGAAGTAAGGTTTGGGCATGCCTGCGCGAGCGCTGCGACGCCCGCGTCGGTCACGTTCGAGCAAACCCACAAGTTGAGGAGCGAAAGCTTGGGGCAGCCGGCGGCAAGTGCATGGAGGGACGCGTCAGTCACGTCCGCGTGACCCTCCAGTTGCAGCGAGGCCAGCTGTGAGCACCCCGCCGCTAGCTTGCTCACGCCGCGGTCGGTCACGACGCCGCAGCGGGCGACGTCGAGCGCCGTGAGCGAGGCGCAATGCGCGGCCAGTGTGGCGAGGGCCGCGTCCGAGATAGAGCGGCACTGGCGCAGGGCAATCTGACGCAGCCCTGTGCAGGCCCGCGCCACAGCCCCCACGCCCGCGTCGGTGACGAGTGTTGCCCCACTCAGGGTCAGCTCTCGCAGCCGTGGCGTCACCGTGGCCAGCGCCCAGCCCGACACCTGGTGCGGCGCACGGGAGTGGTGCAAAGCCAGGGCCTCTGCGGACAGCGAGGGGGGGGTTGGGGCTCGGACGAACCTCTCTGCAACCCTCGAGCTGCAGCGAGGCAAGGCGAGGACAGCGGCGCATGAGCGCGGCGACGCCGCGGTCAGTGAGCATGGCGCAGCCGGAGAGGTCAAGGGAGGTGAGGGAAGTGGAAATGGAGGAGAGGGAGAGGAGGCCGAAGTCGGAGATGTCACACCTAGGAGCGGGAGCAGTCAGGACGCGGATGGTGCTGCCCGCCGCGAGGGGGGAGGGGGGGAGGGGGGAAGGGGGGGTTGCGCACCACCCGAGCAGCAGAGATGAAAGAGAGCGGCAGTGCGCCAGGAGCGCGGCCAGGCCGGCGTCGGAGACATCGCGGCATCCGCTCAGCGAGAGCATCTGCAGCTGTGGCAGCGCCGCGCCGATCGCGGCAACATGCGCGTCCTGCAGCGCATCGCAGCCCGAAAGGTCCAGCGAAATGAGTGACCGGAAGGACGTGCAGAGCACGCCGACGTCGCGGCCGCAGGCGTCCGAGCCGCGGAGCGAGAGGGTGGAGAGCGCCGGGAATCGCCGCGCGAAGGCGCGCAGCGCGGACGAGAGCGGAGTGCCGCGGAGAGACACGCGGGTGATGTGGAGCGAAAGCCGTGGTGGGCGGAAGGCGCACGCCCACTCGCGGCAGACACAGTCGAGGCCGAGAACCTCGGAGCAGGGGAGGAACGAGGCGACGTGCGCGAGCGTGTCGACGTCTAGCCGTGAGAAGCCGGCTGGAATGTCGGCCTCCATTTTCCCTCCCAAGGAGGAGCTTCCTCCGCCGCCTCCGCGCTGCTGCACCCCTTGCCGGAAGCTGCACGCGCGGCTGTTCGCTCCGCCTGCCCTCGCCCTTGCGCGCTGCGCCGCGCGCGCTGCGTTTTTTGTTTTTTTTCTTTTTTTGTGAGCTTAGCCTTCGATGTTAATGAAACAACGCAAGGCGGACATGGCATATCGCTCTCGGGCCCACAGACATCCCGCACACTCGCCGCACACCCGCCGCCCCCGCGCGCGCCCCACCCCGGCCGGGAGAGAGGGGAGTGACAGTTTGGGACGGCAACAGCCCGAGTATGTTGAGTCCTGGCTCAACAACGCAGATAACAAGAGGGGGTGGTCCGGCTCCCAAGTCCGGCTCACGCGCCTCGAGCTGACCGATCTACCGCACTGGCCACTTCCGCCCCCTCGCTCCCAACCCATCCACCCCGCCCCGGGCCGCGCCGCGCGATCTCGGGCGATCTCGCGCTATCTCGGGCGATCTCGGGGCCGCGCCGCACTATCTCGGGCGATCTCGGAGCGTCGCTCGCGCGGCGTCACACCTGCTCAAAAAGGAAGGAGGTTGGAGGCAGGAGGTCACGCCCCATCCAGAGCGCCGTCGTCGCCGGGTTTTTGGCCCCCGGGTCGTCGCCCGACGGTTGCTGCGCGGGGCAGCAGACCATCGGACGGCGCGACGACGCCCCGTCCGGCACGCTCCCCCCTCCACTCGGCTATTGCCGCACGAGCGCCCTCAGCGGCGGAATTTTTCCCTCGCGCTTCCTTGGGCCCCCGGCAACGCCGACGGACTTCCCGTCCCCCCACCTGCGCCGCAATCACCGCCGTGATTGTCGGCGCTGCGCCCCTTGGCGCCTGTGCATGTCCCGCGTGCCCGCCCGCCAAGGCTGGTGCCAAGGCCAACTCAACTGCCAAGGCTGGTGCCAGGGCCAAATCAACTGCCTGGCTGGTGCCAAGGCTCAAAGGCTCTCCTCTCTCTCTGCTCGCTCCGCCCTCTCTCTCCCTCCCTCCCTCCCTCTCACCCCCTCCCCTCTTCTCTCCTCTCCCCCTCCTCCTCTCTCCTCTCTCCTCCTCTCTCTTCTCCTCTCCTCTCCTCTTCTCATCCTCTCCCCTCTCCTCCTCTCCTCTCTCCCCCCCTCTCTCCCCCAGCAGCTTCCTCGAGGCCGAACAGGTAGATCCTCCCTGATCGCTAAGCTACCACAGGGGACGGCCAGGTAGTAGACGTCGTCCGCCGCCGCCTCCGCCGCCCGCGTGCCTCCGCCCCGCTCAGCAAAAAATCAGCATTATATCAGGAGGTGCCAAAGAAGCAGCATCTCCATGAGGTGAGCGTCGTGCGTTTTGCCGCCGCGTGCCGCCGCTGCGCCGACTGGCTCCCGGTTCGAATCGTCCTTCGCGGAGCGAACGCGGCGACACGGGCGCACGTCGCGCGCGTGTGCGCCTGCGACAAGACGAGACGAGAGGAGAAGGAGAAGTAGACGGTTGATGTTTTTGCTGCCGCGGCCGCGCCGCGAGCTCGCGTCTGTTTTGGCGCCGACGACGCGACGCGCCCCGCCGCGCGAGATGGCGCCGCCGCGGAGTCGGCGCCGCGATCAACCGCGCGCCAGCGGCGAGTGGCGCAGCGCGGCCACCATGCGGCGCGACGTGCCCGCCGAAGGTTTTTTTTTGTTCATCTGCACCCGACCCCCCCCTCCAAGACATGCAACGTTTGTGGTTTCGGACGGCAGCCACGCCTGCTTTTGGCGCTACGGGGGCTTGGGCGTGGCAGCGGCACGCCGCTCACTTCACGAGCGAGTACAGCAGCACGCCGCCAATGCCGATCCCGCAGCCGAGCATCTTGATAGGCTCGAGAGACTCGCCCAGTGCAAGCGCGACGCCGACAATGACGATGACGCGCTTGGCCGTGTTTGCGACGGACTGGGTGGTGGCCGAGGTCTTCTTGATGGTGAGGGTGGAGAGCTCGTTGTAGAGGTAGAAGTAGAGCCCCGAGGTGACGAGGTTGCTCGAGAGCGCCTTGCTCGACTTGAACAGCTCGACGAACGTGCCGAAGCGCTTCGCCTCGAGGAGGAGCCAAAAGGGGAGGATCGAGAGTGTGCCGAGGATTGTCGAGAGCGCAAACTGGTTGCCAGTCGATCCGATCCGGTCCGACAGGCCGGCGGTGTCCATCAGCTTCTTGTTCTCGTTGGAGCGGAACGCGGCAAAGAGGTTGGCGACGCACGCGGCTAGCAGGGCCCAGACCGAGAAATCAAGCTCCTTGAGCGAGGCGAGGCAGACGCCGCCGATGACCGGGATGAGGCAAAGCCACTTGGCCTTGGAGATGGACTTGCCGTACAGAGTGACGCCCAGGAATGCGGCAAAGGCGGGCTCAGCGGCCTTGACGATCTGGGCAAAGGAGACGGCGCCGAGGTTCATCGAGAAGATGGATGACAGGTGGGCGCCGGCGGCGCACGCCGCGACCGGGAGGATCTGCAGCAGGTCCGACGGCGTCACGTTTGGCTGCGGCCGCATGTCGGGCGCAACCCACGCAAACAAGGCGTACAGGCTTCCAATCACCATCTGCAGGAAGCCGATCGTCACGGGAAAGCCGTCCGTGGCGCCACCGGACGCCTTGAGCGCGAGCTTGTTGTTGAGCGTATAGTAGTAGTTGCCGACGTACCACCCGGCGAAGTAGAGCATGAGGGTCCAGTCGATGCCGCCCACAGCACCGCCGCCGCCGCGCACCGCGAGCTTTGAGTTGCCCGAGGCCGTCTTGCCGGCGGCGAGCGGCGCGCGAGCGGTGTCGCCGCCCCGAAGCCGCAGCGCCGGGCGCGACGCAGGAGCGACGCTGCCGCTGGCGACGGCGAGCGAGCCGAGGGCAACGAGCAGAACCGATTTGGCCATTGTGCGCAGCCCCTCCTCGCGGAGATAGTGGAGCTTGGAGCAGAAGGAAAGAATTCTAAATAGATTTGGTCGCAGAGGGGACGTGGGTGAAGGAGGCTGAGCGGCGATGTGAGCCGGCTCATCGAGCTTGGAGCCCAAACGCGTGAGCGGGCAATCGAGTTACTTGAGCAATGCGGCTCGTTGCAGGCGGCTGCAAACGCGCTGTGCGCGGATGCGGACGCCTCCATTCCTTCAGAGGTGCGGAAGTGGGTGGAACAGTTGCGCAGCGGAGGGGATGGGCAGAAGGAGAAGGCCGCGGGGGTGCTGGCGAACCTCGCAGACAAGAACGCCGACAGTCAGGTGGCGATCGCAAAGGCAGGCGGCATCGCGCCTCTCGTGGCGCTGGCGCGCGGAGGCACGGACGGGCAGAAGGAAAACGCAGCAGGGGCGCTCGCGAACCTCGCTGCCAACGATGACAACAAGGTGGCGATCGCGAGGGCGGGCGGCATTGCAACGCTGGTGGCGCTGGCTCGCGGCGGCACGGACGGGCAGAAGGAGAGGGCTGCGGCGGCGCTGGGATACCTCGCTTTCAACGACGCCGACAACAAGGTGTCGATCGCAAAGGAGGGCGGCATCGCGCCGCTGGTGGCGCTGGCGCGCGGCGGCACGGAGCGGCAAAAGGAGAACGCCACGGGGGCGCTGTTTAAGCTCGCTTTCAACGCCAACAACCAGGTGGCGATCGCGAAGGCGGGCGGCATCGCGCCGCTGGTGGCGCTGGCTCGCGGCGGCACGGACGGGCAGAAGGAGTGGGCCGCGGGGGCGCTGGGGAGGCTCGCTTTCAACGACGCCGACAACCAGGTGTCGATCGCGAAGGCGGGCGGCATTGCACCGTTGGTGGCGCTGGCTCGCAGCGGCACGGACGGGCAGAAGGAAAACGCCGCAGGGGCGTTGGCGAACCTCGCTTTCAACGATGACAACCAGATGGCGATCGCGAAAGCGGGCGGCATCGCGCCGCTGGTGGCGCTGGCTCGCGGCGGCACGGACGGGCAGAAGGAGAGGGCTGCGGGGGCGCTGGGGAGGCTCGCTCTCAACGACGACAACAAGGTGTCGATCGCGAAGGAGGACGGCATTGCACCTCTCGTGGCGCTGGCTAGCGGCGGCACGGAGCGGCAGAAGGAGTGGGCCGCGGGGGCTATGAGGAACCTCGCTTTCAACGCCGACAACCAGGTGGCGATCGCGAAGGCGGGCGGCATCGCGCCGCTGGTGGCGTTGGCTCGCGGCGGCACGGACGGGCAGAAGGAGAGGGCTGCGGCGGCGCTGGGGAGGCTCGCTCTCAACGATGACAACAAGGTGGCGATCGCGAAGGAGGGCGGGATTGCGCCGTTGGTGGCGCTGGCTCGCAGCGGCACAGTGGGGCAGAAGGAGAAGGCCGCGGGGGCGCTGAGGATCCTCGGCTGCACGAAATCCATGTTTGGGTGGAAGATCCCCAAGTAATTTAGATGAGTATGAGGTAAGGAGAGGTAGTGCAAGGGGTTCCGCCGGTGCACACAAAGGGGCTCGAGTGCGGTGGTGGTGGCCTGGTGCGCAGTGCCAATGGTTGGGTAGTAGGGCTAGAGGGTCGCTCTACACTTAGCCTCTGCAGCGAGCGAGCGCTCAACTTAGCCCCCGCACGGAGCCGGGCTCGGACTTAGACCCCCATGGTCGGGGGCCATGAACTTAGACGACATAAGGCCAACTCCGGGTAAAACCCGGGTATACCTGAAAAGCTTTCAGGTTTACCCGAAAAATACCTGGACGCGTCCCGACCAACGTTTGCCGCGCACGACGCCATATCGCCTTCTCCCAGGGCCAGTGCGCTACTTGCGGCGCGCAACGCCTGCTCAAGTACGCGCAACGTACCATATGCTGCCGCTATGCGTGCCTTAAGGCGGCTGCGGCGAAGCGGCGGGCGCGGCATGCCGATGGCAGTGCGGACGATGCGGTTGCGATGTGTTCTGCTTCAAGATCGTGGCGGTGCTTGGCATGCACTTCTGCGATCCCAATCAGCTCATCGCAACGAAGCAGCGCAACAAGCTGGCTGCTGTCAACAAGGCCCTATGCTACCTCACGCGCGGATCGTTCAAAGAGGACCAGCATACACAGGCTTCTCTGACATGCGTTTGTTTGAGCTTGAGGCTATTTGTGAGAACTGTTTGGCGAAGAAGTCGCCGAAGATTGCGCTCAAGAAGCAGCAACGAGAATCGGAAGAGGAGGATGCTGAGGCGGCGATTGCTGAGCATGAGAAGGACCGATCGCCCGCCGCAGGCGAAGAAAATTTGGGGGTTGCGCCGTATCGTTTGTACGTTGATCACGGTGGGAGCCTCTTGGCCCCAGGCCGTCCACGGCCGACTTAGCCGATGTAAGAGGCTCCCGCTGATCTTAGACCGCGCAAGCACTCCAGCGTGGCTAGCCACACTTAGACCCGTTAGGCCTCCAGGCTCAGAACTTAGACTACTACCCAACCAGTGCAGTGCCAGTGGTGGTGTGAGCCGCCAGGCGCGTCTCCTCCCCTTAGCCTTACTTTTCGTGCGCGTCGGACAGCCGAGCCCTCTCTGTGGTGGCTGGAGCGACAGCGCGGACGAGGAGGGGGGGTCGGAGATACAGAAAAACGGGAAGGGAGGGAAGCATGGGACCGCACGGGGCACACAGCTCACAGGCCAGACAGCACGAGACTGCAAGATACTGCACGGGCCACGGGGGCACCTCTAGGTCCTCGCCCTCCCCCAGCCGCACACAAACCGACACCCTGTGGGCACCCTATCTGCTATCAACCTCAACCTCACTCAATCAACCTACGTCTCCTTTAAAATCCCTGTGTGGTGGCGGCGTGCCTCCCTCCCTTATTCTCTGTTTTCGTTCTTTCTTTACCTACGTGGAGTATTCACGAGCGGGGTCCTGGGCCTGTCGATCTCTATTTTCCTCTCTCTCTTCCGGAGCACTTTTTGGAGTGCAGAGTTGGCAGCCTCACATCCAGGGCCGGGGAGCTATAAGAAGCGCACCAGCGGGCCAGGATGCTCGGGGACGGGTTACGGGCTAGAGAGCCCTAGCCCTGGGGGGTGCGCGTTCGCAGGGAAAGGGGGCCGTAAAGGGTAAACACGGGTCTCCGAGGGCTAGCTCCGCGCTGCGGGTTTCCCCTAGCAGCAGACCGCCCCCTCTACTCGGAGCTATAATGGACACCAGACACGAACACGACACATATTCTCACACGACGTCACCGCTCAGGGCCCCCTTCGCGCGCCCCCCCCCCCACTCCGGAGGGGGCTCCCCTCTCCTCTGGGTTCTCCCTCTCGCACCCCGTTCTCTTTTCCTCTCTACTTTCCCGGGGAAACTCCGTGGAAATTGTCATTTTGGGGGGCTCTGAGCCCGCTGCCCGGAGTCTGAGAGGTTTTGGGGGCCAAAATCAGCCAAATCGGCAAATACCCGGTATTTTGCGGGTGTTAAATGCCGTATTATTTGAAAAAAACCGGGTATACCTGGAATTACCTGTTTTTTCGCGCTAAGCAATTTTTTATTCATAAAGGACCCCCCATCACAGCATCACAGCAAGCGTGAAGAGTGACCCGCGGGCGCCCGTGGGGGGGGGGGGGGGGAGATGCTACCGACCGGCGCTCCAAGTGTGCTCTCCCTCCCGGCCTACTCGGCTAGCCGTGCGAGATGGAGGTTTGCGCCGGCCAGAAGCCGCTTCAGCCGCGCCACCTTGCGCCGGAGCTCGGCCTCTGTTTCCGACGCCACCGAATCCGCCTCAGGCGGCGCGGGCAGCGGCCGTGGTGGCAGGGGCGGCTTCTGTGCCTCGACAGGCGCGGCGCCGAACAGAGTGGAGATGTACGACGCGGCGTCGTCGACGACGGTGGCGCGGGAGGCACGCAGCTGCTCCGCCTCGGCGGTAGAGAATTGCAGGACAGAAGAGAGCACGGGCAAGATTGCGTCGGCCGCGGCGGCGTCCCCGGCGAGCAGATACTTGAGCACCACCTGGCGAGGCATGCACGTGGCGTTATCATGTGGATGGAGGACACGAGTTGAGCGCGAGTGGCGCGCGGCGTCGCACCTCCTTGATGTAGCCCGGCACCTACGAATGGCACGTGCGAGGAGTTTGGGGAGTCTCGGACATCGTGTTGCGATGCGCGCACGGGGCTCGACGCACCGCCGCCGACTGTGCAAGCCGCAGATCGCGCGCGAGCCCATCGGCTCGCGTGCGCTCCCGCGAGGCGGCCGCCGCCTTCTCCTCCGCCTTGCGCGTGGCGTCGCTTGCCTTTTGCGCCAGTCGCGCCATCTCCGCGTCACGGCCCGCCTGCGCTCGCGCCGTCGAAAGCAAAATCTGCTCGTCGGCGGCTGCGCCTGAGGTGGGAAACCCCTTGGCTGCGACCGTGGGCCCGTATGTGAGTTGCATGCGCTGCCCATGCGAGCCGGGCGCTGCGGTGGCCGTGGCGGTCGAGGAGTGGGACGAAGAGCGCGAGAGCGTGCCTGGACGGGCGGAGCCGTCCAGCAGGTCCAAAGCGTTGGGAAGGGGCTGCAGCTTGTGCCGTTGCGCACGGAGCTTTTCGTTCTCCAGATCCTTCTCCTCAACGAGGGCGCGAGCCTACAGTGCCGATCATCACGCCACGCCTGTGCCATTGACCTCCACCCGTGAGACGAGAGTTGGTGATGCGGCCACCCGCGCGCGCACTGCCGACAGCTCCGCTCTCAGGCGGCGCGCGTCTGCGCCGGCAGCATCGGTCGCCTGGGGCCATGATGAATGGCTCCTGAGAGCAGACTCGACGCACCGCAAACACTTGTGCGCTCGTCTCCACGCCTCCTTGAGCGCCGCGTCCGCATGCGAGCGCGCCGCTGCCGCCGCCTCCTCGAGGCGCCTCCGGTCATCGGCGAGGATGGCTGCCGCCTAGAATGATGGCAGCAACTCTTCATGCCCGTCCCGCTGGCCAGTGGCAGCAACGCCAAACGACTGCCTCTGCGTCCCGCTGCGCCGCCGCTGCCTGCGCCGCGGCGTCGCGCCTCTCCTCGGCGGCGGCGAGCAAACTCATCTGCGCCCGCATCGCCTCTCGGTCCGCATCAAGCTCTGCCTGCGCCTCCGTCGCCTTCGCCTCCGCCGCACGCAGCTGGCCGCGCAGAGCCGCCACTTCCGCGCGCATCCGCGAAGCCACCTCCGCCGCACGCGCCTCGCTCCCAGGGGTCGCCGGCAGCACCGCAGCGGCGCCGTTTTGAACTGCCGCCGTCGTCCTCGTGTCGCCACCGTCGTGCCCGCGGAACGCGCCGAATCCGTCGTCCGCACTGCCATCGGCGGGCGCTGTGCTCGGAGCTACGCGGGCAGCGGCGGGTGGCGTGGCTCCCCCGATTGCCTCGCTGCGGAGAGCGGCTGCGGCGGCAGCGGGCTGCTCGCTCCGGATGCGCTGCACCACGGCGGCGTGCCTATCGCGAACATCAAAGCTGCGGCGCGACTGCACGGGCGAGAGCCGCGCTTCACACGCCGCGTGCTTCTCGAGCATCGCCGCCTTTTGGCGCTCGAGGGCCGCCTTTCCCCAGCCAGATTGGGAGAGTGACCGACGGGTGTAGAGAGGATTCGGTTCGCAGGGGATCTGGGAGGCAACAACGGGCTTGGCTGGGGTGCGCGCCTTGGCCGAAACGTGCAATCGCCCCATCTTCTCCTGTCTCTCTGCCACCTCAGCTCGCAACCTCTCAACCTCTTTGTGCAAGCGCTCGATCTCGGCGGTAGCTGCTATTTGCCGCTCTGCGTGCGCGCTGCCATCGGCAACTTCTGCCAATTGCCGTTCCTCCAAAGCTGCCGCGACAGCCGCGGCCTCGCGGGCCGCCGCGCCCTACCAATGCGGAGGTGGGTGAGTGGAGGGGGGGGGGGGGCTTGCGATCTCGGCCAAGCTCAAGCCATGCCGGCCCACTCTCACCTCCTTTGCCAAAGTCAGCTCCTGTTGCATCGCCGCGACCCGGCTCTCCATAGCGCTCTTGGCGGCCGCCAGCTTGGTGCGCATCGTCCCGAGAGACTCGCGCTCTGAGGAGAGCGCCCCCTCGAGGCTCACGACTTTGTCCTTCAACCTGGCTGCCTCGAGCCTCGCAGCCTCGGCCTAGAGTCGAGAGCAGTCCGCGAACTGGGACTCGCGAGCCGATTCATTCATTCAGGCGGCTGCGACCCCTCGGCCTGGGCGGCCAAATTGGCAGAACTCGTCGCGCCCTTGGCGGTCTCCTCAGCCGCTGTCTTGCATGCCGCCGCCGCCGCCGCCGCCTCCGCACTCTCCGCACGGGCCGTGGCTGTCTTTGCCGCCTCGAGCGCCGCCTCGATCTGTTTCCCGGCGCGGGCCTCCGCCTCCGTCACAGCCTCGTTTGCGCGCTTGCGCATTGCATCCTGCGCGGCCGTGCCAGCCTGCTTTGCCGCTGCGAGCTCGGCAAGGGCGGCCTGTGGGCAAGAAGGGGGGCGTTGGGGAAGAAAATGGGAGGGCAAATGCCAGGTATGGGGGGCGCCTGCTTCGCCGCGGTGGCGGCCGCCGCCGCCGCCTCACTGCGCTCCTGCGCCTGGGCGACCGTCGTTGCCATAGCGGCTGCGGCGCGGCGCTGCGCGTCGGCGTCCGCGTTCGCCGCCTGCACAGCGGCGCGTGCCATCGCCTCCGAGCCTCGCAGCATCTCAGCCTCTTCCCTCGCCTCGGCCAGCTGGGCGCGGAGCTGCGCTGCTTCGTCCGACGCGCCGGCCGCCGCCGCCGCGGCGGCCGCCTCCGACGCCGCCGTCCGAGCCGTCTCCTGCGCCTCGGACTGTACTCGAGCGCGCGCCGCCTCCGCCTCGCACGCTCGCGACTCGGCTGCCTCGGCGCGAGCGGTCGCCTGGGCGGGCGGGCAACGGGAGAGAAGAAGTGGAGTGGTCGTAGGTGCCGAGTGGTCCAAGCTGCCGAGGGTTGGTCTACATCGCGCGTGGTGAGGCTGGGTAGAGACGCCTCAGCAAGCTGCATGGCCACGGCGGCGCGGCCAGCCTCGGCACGCTCGGCCGCGGAACGCGCCTCGGCGGTCTCCTCGCGTGCGCTCGCCAGCGCGGCCGTGGCCGAGCGCCGCGCAGCCGCCATCTCGTCCTCCAACGCCGCGCTGCGGCAGTCTGCATCCGCTGCCGCCAAGCGCGAGCCGTCCGCAGCGGTGGCCAGTTGCGCCGTCAGCTCCGTCTTCGTCTTGCTGAGGGCACTGACCTCGGCCCGGGCGGCGCGCAGTTTCTCACTCAGCTGCTGCTGCTCGGCCGCCGCCGCCTCGAGCTGCGCGGCTGCTGCGCCGCTGCCGCTGCCGCTGCTGTCGGCGGAGGCACCCGCGCCGAGCTCCAGCTGCGCGCGGCACGCCCGCAATTCCGCCTCCGCTTCCGCGCGCGCAGCTTCCGCCTCGTCTGCGGCCGCCATCGCGTTTGAAGCGGCTTGCCTCGCGAGCACAGCCTCCGCCTCGGCCGCCGCCGCGCGCTAATGTGACAAACCACGGCACGCTCAGTTAATGTGAGAGCAGTGGCCAGGGGCAGAGAGCGAGCGGGCGCGTCTTGAGAGTCCTTGATGGCGCTGCGCGCACGTTTAACCTGCGACTGAAGCTGGGCCTGGACCGCCGCCGACTGGCCCACAAGCCGCTCCAACTCAGCGCGATCCAAATGGTCGAGATCTCCGGAGAGGACGGACTGCGCCTCGTCTTCTCCACCCCGGAAAACAGACGAAGCCTCAGCCCGCACCTTCCTCATCTCCTCGTTTGCCTTCTCCTGAGCATGCGCCGCTGCTTGCGAGAGTGTCTTCGCCGCAGAAGCTATCATTATTCGTCAGCGAGCGAGGTCGGCGCTCCCGGCGTCAACCGGCCGCGTTTCGTCGACCGCGGGGCTGCCGGCGTGCACGACCGCGGAGGCTGCCGGCGTGGATAGGAGCAGGATAGGAGCAGCAGAATATACATTGCGGAAAACTTGCAAAATAGAAGAAGAATTCCAACACAGCACACAGGCTCGACACAGGTGCGAAGAAAGAGAGACGTCCCCTCCCCCCTTCACACCACACACACACACACACACACACACACACACACACACACACACACACACACACACACACACACACACACACACACACACACACACACACACACACACACACACACACACCTCACCACGCGCACTGGGCCTTGCACTTCTGGTGTATGCCGTGGGGCTCTAGTCTAGGCAAGGCCTTCCTCGCTGGCGACCGCTCGCTACTTTGCCGACACTCGGCAGCAGAAGCTAAAGTCAAAGAGGCTGGCGAGTCTGGCGAGGGGGCCGCGAGCGGCGACCGCGGCAAGTCCGACGCCAGCAACAGCACCGATGAGCTCCGTCTGTGAGAGACGGCTTCCCGTGGAGGGAAGGGCAGCACAGCGAAGTTCGCTGTGACTAATGCGTACGTTGCCATGAGATGTGACCCATGTCGCCCCCGTGTCGTGCAGGTGGAGGCTGGAGGGTTGCGGTGGGGTGTGCGGGGCCCACCGTGCATGTGCTCAAGCGTGGTGAATTACTCCTCTTCATGGGACCCCTGCCGTATGTGCTCTACACTGAAAACATAAATATTGTACAGGGAAGAATATGGCGGGATACCGGGAGATACCAGGGGAGATACGCGGGGATATAATGAGATACGGACGCCCCGATGTGTTCACGGACCCCCCGGCTACGGCGCGGCGGCGCCGGCGGCTACGTTTATAGGGAAGCGGTGAGGGTGGCCGCCCGGCGGGAGGCCGCCCTGGATGGATGTCCGTCGTGGCGAGCGACAAGTGTCGCAGTGGATTAGACCCTTCCCGGCGGCCGCCAGCAGCCCGCCTCTCACTTTCGCGCGCCAAACCCAAAGGCGGCGGCTGTGACGGCGGCGGCGGCGGCGACGTCGAGCGAGGAGAGCGGCGCGACCACCTGTTTCGTGAGACGAAGCGAAAGATAAGCAAGGGATGTGTGGGCGGGCGGGCGAAGCGGGGGGGGGGGGGGGGGCCCCCCCCCCTCCATGTAGGGCATCCGCTTGGGGTTCACGGCCGCCACGACGAGGCGGCCGACAGAGGGGCAGACCGCCTCGACGAGCGGGACGAGGTACTTGTTGCGCGCGACGACGGCCGCACTGTTGTACGAGGTCGGGACGCCGTCGACGACCGGCCAGCCGCCGTGCTTGGTGAGCGGGCTGTGCAGCCCGTCGGCCACGACCTTGGTCACTTTGAGGACGGGCTCCTGGCAGAAAGGGGGGGGGGGGGCGGGGCTCGCATCGGGGGAGGCAGGGGTGTGGTGCACTGGGGGTAGTCGCGCCTGCACGAGCGCGCCCGCGGCCGGCGACGCGAGCCAGACCGTCTCGCCGACGGCAACCTCGGACGCCTGCTTGAGCGCCTTTGCCGGCCCGGCGGGCAGCTTGTGCGTCGGGGTGAGCGTGACCGTCGCCGTCGCGGTGGCGAGCGAGAGGAAGGCCGCCTTGGCGGACGGGTTGGCCAGCGAGAAGGAGGAGACGACGTCGAAGCTGAGGGTGCCTAGTACAAGTAAGCGACAGTGAAGCAATGAAATCGCTCTCACACGGCATCAAAAGCGAGGGTGCCGTCGGCCGCCGCGGCGAGGACTGAGTCACCGGCGGAGAGGGAGGAGAGGGGAACGGTAGCCCCGTCGGCACGCTGCACCGTCGCCGAGCTCGGGAAGCACGGCGGGTCCGTGGACTGCGGCTGCTCGTCAGGTGGCGACATTGGCGGCGGCGGCGTGGGCGGGGCGGAGGGCGGGGCGGAGGGCGGCGGTGGAGGAGATGGCGGCGGCGGCGAGGGCGGCGGCGGCGACGGCGAGGCGGAGCGAGGCGATGCAGGCGGCGGGCACAGCGAGCCCCACAAGTAGGGCCACGCGCTCGTCTGTGCGTCGAAGCTGGCGTGGATGCGCGCCTTGTTGCAGTCGCTGCCACCCGTCGTCTCCCCAAACATGCCAAACATCATGAACATGCTATCACGATCCACGACCGCCGACACGTCCCACGACGAGATGTCCTGGTCGAAGGAGGTGGCGGAGTAGAACATCTTCTGCATGCTGGTAACCGCCGACGTGTTCCACGACGAGATGTCCTTGTCGAAGGCGGAGGCGTCGCGGAACATCTGGTTCATTCTGAGAACCGACGACGTGTCCCACGACGAGATGTCCTTGTCGAAGGAGGAGGCGCCCCAGAACATGAAGCTCATGGTGGTGACTGCCGACGTGACCCACGACCCAATGTCGGGGTTGCACGTGCTCTTGCCGGTCGTGGAGCCGCCCACGACTTGCGCGCACCACGAGTTTGCGCTGAACATACACCACATGTCGGTTATGCGGCTCACGTCCCAGTCCGCGATGTTGCCGTACTCAGCCAGGGCGGCCGACTCGTTGCTGCACCACAAGTCGACCGCGGTCTGCAGAGCGGGCTTGTTGGCAAAGGTGCTGGCAGACTGCGCCGCCACGCCGGGAGGGAGCAACGCGCCAAAGGCTGCATAGATGAGCATCATGTTGTCTCCTGCGGAAGGGGAAAGGTGGGGGGCGAGGCGGCACACAGTGAGAGGGGGGCGGGGATCACAGCTCACACATACATTCAATTAAAATTAATCAGCAAAAACTGATGACATCTCGGTGGGTGCGATAGAGCGCCTCAACAAAGAGGTGCGGAAGCAAGGCATCGAAGCGATCTCGGGTAATCTCGGTCAATCTCGGACGCTGATTGCAGCATCGTGTGTAGGCCATCATGCTGCTTCTCTCTGCTCTTGAGAGCGTCTTTGAGGGCGTGAATGAGGGTGGTGGGAGGGCCGCACCTACTCGCAGCGTACGCAGCATGAGGCCCAACCCTAAAGAAGCCGCGGCGGGCTCGCCTAGCCCACGTTGTTGTGGATCTGCAAGGCGCAGCCGACCGGCCGGCCGCAGCATAAATGGGATGAGCATGGTGCGGGGCTCGTTTGGGGAGTCGCGGGAGCGCAGAGGCATGGTAGCGACCCGCGGCCGAGCGCGTGCGGCGTTCCGACCGCAAACCGATTGTGGCCATCGCGTCGCTTGCATTTTCGCTCGGGCGGTGGGCGGCGTTTTCGCAGCACGGCGTGCAGCCGGGCACGGGCTCACTGCAGTGGTGGTTGCGGGGCGAGGCGGGGCACTCAACTCGCTGGGTCGCGCGGGCGAGGTGGCGAGGCGCACCTTTTGTTTTTTGTGGAAAGGGAAGACGCTGTCACGCAGAGGAAGACGCTCCTGCCCGGGAGGGTTGCTCGGGTCGGGGTGGGGCGGGGTTGTGGCTGTGGTGGGGACAACAAAGGAAGACGCTGGATCTCAACTACTCGAGTAGGAATTGACTAGGGAAGTGATAGATCAAACCGTGCTGGCAGACTGCGCCAGAAAACCGAAGCTGACGGTGTGACGGTCGCGCGTCCGGGTGTGAATTCTTCCTAAGTAAGAGGCCGCTGGGCGGCCGGCGGCGGCTCGGCCAAGTGTCGCCCAGTCCGAGCGGCGCGACGCGCCGCTAGCTGACCTCCGTCGTGCGGATGTGTCAGGGAACATCGATTGGCATCTGAGTGGGCATTTTCGATACCAAACAACATGTACAAACGGGGTTGGAAAGCGGCGGAGGATCCACGCGCCGAACTAGCGCCGAAACAAAGGAACGAAGAAAGCTGACAGCCACCCATACTCGAGTGCCCCAGACAGACCCCCTGTCCCGAATCCAGTGTCGCGTGAATCGTGCTGTGCGACCGCCTTTAAAATTCCTTGTAAAATTCTTTTCATCTCAGCGCTTCATTGTCACGGACAACAATCCTTTGACACGGACAACCAAAGGTCCACAGCCCATGCGCCGCCTTTTCCCTGACGTACATGCGTCCCCGTGAGCATTCATGCACCGTCGCCCACCGCCCTCTCTTTCCTCTCGCGCACCCGGGGGGGGTCGCGCCGAAGCTGCGGCAGCGGCGGAGGCAGCGGCGCGACGGCGGCGCTAGGAGCGGCCATCGGATGGTGGGCCATGGTTGGGACCCGGTCCAGCGTGTGAGGCTTGAGGTGCCGGGTGCTTGTGGGCGCCGACGGCGTCGAGGCGTGGACAGGAGCAGTCGTGAGAGAGTCTGTGCGCTGCCGGCGGAGGCGGCAGAGGCGGCGGAGGCAGTGGCCGAACCGCGCGCAGCGAGCGGCGACTCACCCCTCACCGTGCCGCCTGCCCCCCCACCTTTCCTTCCGCAGGAGACAATGAAGCCGATCCTCGTAGCCTTTGTCGCGTTACTCCCTCCCGGCGCGTCGGCGCAGACTACCTTTGCCAACAAGCCCGACCTGCAGACCGCGGCCGACCTGTGGTGCAGCAACGAGCCGGCCGCCCTGGCTGAGTACGGCAACATCGCGGACTGGGACGTGAGCCGCATAACCAACATGCAGTGTCTGTTCAGCGCTGACTCGTGGTGCGAGAGTAACGGCGGCGGCGGCTCCACGAGCACGACCGGCAAGAGCACGTGCAACCCCGACATTGGGTCGTGGGTCACGTCGGCAGTCACCACCATGCTCGCCATGTTCCACGGCGCCTCCTCCTTCGACCAGGACATCTCCTCGTGGGACACGTCGTCGGTCCTCGGCATTACCGGCATGTTCGACGGCGCCACCTCCTTCGACAAGGACATCTCATCATGGGACGTGTCGGCGGCCCTCGACATGGCACACATGTTCCTCGGCGCCACCTCCCTCAGCGACTGCAACAAGGCGCTCATCCACGCCAGCTTCGACGCACAGACGAGCGCGTGGCCCTACTCGTGGGGCTCGCTTGCGTGCCCTCCCTCGCCGCCGGCCTCGCCGCCCTCGCCGCCCTCGCCGCCCTCGCCGCCGCCGCCGCCAACCTCGCCGCCATCACCTCCGCCGCCGCCCACCGCCCCGCCCTCCGCCCCGCCCACGCCGCCGCCGCCAACGTCGCCTTCACCTGACGTGGACCCGCCGTGCTTCCCGAGCTCTGCGACGGTGCAGCGCGCCGACGGCGAGACCGCCCTCCTCTCCTCCCTCTCCGCCGGCGACTCGATCCTCGCTGCTGCGGCCGACGGCACCCTCGCTTTCGATGGCGTGAGAGCGTGTTCATCTGTTTCACAGTCGCTTACTTCTACTTCTAGGCACCCTCGGCTTCGACGTCGTCTCCTCCTTCTCGCTGGCCAACCCGTCCGCCAAGGCGGCCTTCCTCTCGCTCGCCACCGCAACGGCGACGGTCACGCTCACCCCGACGCACAAGCTGCCCGCCGGGCCGGCAAAGGCGCTCAAGCAGGCGTCCGAGGTTGCCGTCGGAGAGACGGTCTGGATCGCGTCGCCAGCCGCGGGCACGCTCGTGCAGGCGCGCGCCAATAGTCCAGCATATCACACCCCTGCCTCTTTTGATGCTACCCCCCGCCCCCCCCCACACACACAGGCGCCCGTCCTCGGGATCGCCTCGGTCGAGGCCGAAGGGCTGCACAGCCCGCTCACCAAGCACGGCGGCTGGCCAATCGTCGACGGCGTCGCGACCTCGTACAACAGTGCGGCCGTCGTCGCGCGCAACAAGTACCTCGTCCCGCTCGTCGAGGCAGTCTGCCCCTCCCTCGCCCGCCTCGTCGTGGCGGCCGCGAACCCAAAGGCGATGCACTACATTGATGGCGAGGTGAGCCCTCTCCCGCCGTCCCAAGTTGTATCTCACGTGTCCCCACTCCTGCCCACCCCGTCGCCCACTTTCGCTTCGTCGCTCGACCATCCAGGTGGTCGAGCCAATCTCGTCGCTCGAGGTCGCCGCTGCTGTGGCCGTCACGGCCGCCGCCACTCTTGGCGTGCGCAAAATCACGGCGCGCAAATAGTGCGCGAAGCGGCGACCAGCTCGGATCGTGCGGTTACGTGTTCACGCACTTGCGGGCGTGCGGTGGCGGAGGAGAACAGATGTGATCGTGATGTTCGCCCGAATTCTTTTCTCGTGCCTCGCCCCTCTCGCCCGCACGTCTCGCAGCAGTCACTTAGGCGGCTCGTCCCGTGGTGTACCTGTGAGTGTGTTAGTGCCAGTGCGCGCCAGTCCCGTGCCCAGTTCATTTGTTTGGAGGTGTGGTCGACTCGAGGGGTCCGTGGCCACCGACTCCTCTCTAGTGCACGTGACCGCCAGCAGTCTACCCCGTCCCCTGAGCTGGACCGGGAGCTGGCGACGCGTACCCCGACCGAGCTGGACCGGGAGCTAGCGAGGCGTACCAGAGATGAGACGCCCTGTTGCCTGGTCGCCCCGAGCGCCTTTGCGAGGAGGGCGATCGACACGTGGCGGTGCGGGCCCGTGTAGCAGCCGACGGCGAGGCTGTCGTACAGCCCATCGGCGATCAGGTCGCGCGGCGTCACCTCGAAAAAGTGCCCAAAGATGCAGCCGCCGCGGACGGCGTCGTTCTCGTGCGCCATGACGATCGGCAGCTTGGCCCTGCGCGCGGCACGCACCTGCTCCGCGAGCGCCTCGGCGCCATCGCTGGCCCACGTCGCCTTGTTCAGGTAGAGCAGCATGTGGGTCGCCTCGTCGCCGTCGCTATTGCTCGCAGGCAGCGAGGAGAGGACCGAGGGGGTTGCGTCAGTGACGGCACGGCTGCCGGTGACCGCCGCGGCGAGGTCGTCGGCGAGCTCTCGCGCCCCGGCGTTTGAGGGTGAGGCCCAGAGGACCGTCGGCTTGGCGAAAGTGAGGCCGTCCGCTCGAAGCTCGCCCGGGATGTACAGGGGCAACGACCTCTCTCTGGCGTACTTTGGCATCTGCAGCAGCACAGCGCCTCGGCGATGACCTTGAGCGAGACGTGCTGGAAGGCCTCGATCCGATGCCACACCGCCATCGGCCAGCGGGCGTCAAAGATGGCGGCCTGCAACTCCTCGGGGCACTCGGATCGCCGCTCGGCGAGCGTGCCTCCGCCCTTGTCCGGGTCTGCCTCGTGGACGAGCACGAGCGGCTTGCCCATCTCCAGCGCGGCGCGGACCTCTCGCAGGCAGTTCGTCGAGCGCAGGTAGCCCCGCGACAGGAAGCAGAGCAACACCTGCGAGCGACTAATGTACGCCTCCAGCTCTCCGATGTTCTTGAGGTCGTCGACGTCGAGAAAGATTTCGCAGCCGGGGAGGAACTACATGAGCTCGTTCTTAATGACGGCGACGGCGTCCTACAAGGGAGGAAGGTCAGGTCAGGCCGGCTCCACACACGAAATTGGTGGGGCAAGGAAGTGGCAACTGCCCCGTGCTCCAGACGTGGCTCAGGAAGAGGTGCCACTGCTGGCCGTCGGCGAGGGTGACGCCGTCGCGCATCGGCTCGCGCTTCGACGAGGCGAGCCAAAAAAAGTTCACCGCCGGCGAGCCGGGGGGCCGAGGCCGGAGGGCCCCGGGGGGGGCTTGGGGTCAGCTGTCGGAGGAGGCGGGGCACACGAGACGGCAGCTAGGGCAGGGCACGCAGGGCGCGCACCAATGCCGCCGCCGCGAGTGGGACGAGGAGATGCCTGCCCGGCGCGCGATCCATGGGACACTGCCGCATGGGCTTTCTTCCTTGTTTTTTTGAGACGTTGCTGAAGATTCTTTTTTTGAGCCCCCCAGTCAACGCCGTTTTGTCATCCACGAGTGACGTCCGCCCGACAATGGCTGCTTCACTTGCCTATGTCCCTTTTCCACTCTCGGACGAGCAGTACGCCGCCATCCTGCGCGCGCCGCAGGCGCATGGCTACAGCGTTAACGCGCATCCGCCCGCCGCGCACGCCGGCTCGGTCGGAATGTTCGGCGCGCTCTACTTGTTCAAGGAGGCACCCGAGGCGAGGGCGCGCGTGGCGGCGAGCACCTCGCTGCTCTCCGACGGCGCCACCGCGCTCGCGCGT